GCTTGATATCGGCTTGGCGACGACACACATCCCCGATCCTGGCCGCACGCGTTGTTCTTGCAATGTGCCGTGCATCGCCCACTGCATCACGAACCGGATCATGTGTCAAGATTAATTGATCCGGATTCGCCAGCACACCAATATTTCCATCAGGCTGTGCGATTTTCTCCTGGGCTTCCATCTGTGGCACACAGGAAACGTCAGGAGGGCTTATGTAATCGCCGGTCAGCAGCAGCTGTACCAGAGGCTTGGTCACTGCCCTTGACGCGATAAATTCAGCAGGTGCACTAGCCGCCAGAACGGGAATGGCAAGGCCACCATACCGGACGGGGAATGTCAACAGCTCTCTCTCAGGACTATCAGGACGGACACCATCGCCAAGCAGGGCCGGAAGCAGACGTTCATCAATCACGGTGTCGATCGCCGTCAGGAGCTCTGGAGAACATGGCGAACAACGAATGTGATAGGTCCAGGAGCTCGACAAACCTTTAGTTAATACGCTATAGGCTGCCTGTGGCTGTGTGGTTGCCATTGAAGACAATGTATCCACTACCCGTCCCCACTTCTGGACACGCCGCTCCATACAGGAAGAACAAAAATCCTCGCTGCCAATCACGCCTCCAAGATATCGGTTACCATCAGTTGTGATGACGACGCCAGAGCCCTGGAACTGTAGCCGAGCATCCTGTTCATACTGAGGCTTTACAAGGAGAACGGTTTTCTTGGGATTCGGGAAATACCCATAGCCTGGACCAATCTGACTGATATCGTTCCAATATGACCATAGTGATGTTATCCTACCTCCGGCTGAATCGTCATCTGCATACCATCCCTGCTTTACTGATACGTTGGTATCCCGAAGTCGCCTGATCAACGGGACTGTCGCAAGAGCGTAAATAGCCATGGCCAACGGATCCCCCTGGCAGGTCCCTTCACGGGACAGAATCTCACCACCTCCCGAGACAAAGAGGCGGATCGGGCTGCCATAGGTGTTGCTGAAGATCTTGGACATAGCAGGGCACACACGCGGTACATTATGCAGAGCCGCCTTCCTGTTGAGTGAATTAAACGCATTGCTAGCATCCACAAACAGGACGCCCTCAACGTCATCCTGTTGGAACAGCTCTTGAGCCGCGTGCACACCAGCCTCGCATGCGAATGGAATGCCGATGCACAGCTGGAAAGGAGCCGTAGCCCGGCGCACATCCACCTCAAGCACTCGCATGACGGCACGGCACACAATCCGTCGAAATGCCTCCCCTACGGCAATTGGGCGTACACCAGGGCGCTTGTCCGATGGGATCAGACGAGCAGCTGTAAACGCCACGAGATGCTCCGAGTCGAGGGTCTCTGAGCATAAACAATGAGCAAACTTGGCGAGGGCCGTGCAGAGGCTGTCCGAGGACCTTCGGTAACAAGTGAGCATTCTACACCATGCCTCAGAGTCCAGTCCCGACGGTCCCGAAGAGCCCTGCATCTGTCGAGCAAGCCGTCGGATGAGCTCCGGTGTAATCTTCTGGAATACGATGTTGTTAATCTGGTCAATATTGTTGTCAAGGAGAACCGAAGCAGGCGGCTCAGCAGCAGGCGGATGTTTTTGCAGCAGAGTCTCCTGCACCGTGGCTCCAGTCTCCTCATCCACCACGTCTGTCATGCCCATCACGCTACTCGAGGACTCACTTGACAAATACCGAATCGCAGACTGTATTTTTCCAGAAAATACTAAATTACTGAATGTGATGTCACTCTTCTCATTATTGGAATCAGAGGAAGACTGAGCCCGCGGCTCCAGGCGATCCTGAAGGCACTGACCCTCGGAAAGAAGATCATCTATGTGGCCAGACTTCCACATAGTAAGCCGGCGCCGCAGGTGGTCACTGTAATTAGCCATCAGTTTCGAACCATGGGGACGCTGGAGAAGCACGTGGCAGGCAACAACCACTGCCTTCCATGAAACTGGCCTTAGCGATGTGGCATTGGTAAAACCCTGGATCAGCCTGGTGATTTCATCGACAAATTCACCACCAGCAGACCCTAGCGGAACATTGAATAAATTTCGACGCCAGCAAACCACCTTCTCATACGCCAACGATATATCAAGATGAAAAGAAGTGTTAGGAGATATGTTAGAAGACTGAGAGGTAGCAGTTGTCTCAGGCGCAATGTCAGCAGGGCGAGTAGCAAAAGACTGGTCAGACACCGGCTGGGTAGAGCCACCACCAGACACCAAAGTGTCTACACCGACACCACCCAATCCACCAGGTCGACCAGCAGGAAAGCCACTGGCGAGCTGATCAGTGTCACCAGGTAACGACACAGAGCCGGCACCGACGCCATCAAACCCCGCTGATTGACTGGAAACATGGCGAGAAGCATCCACGCCCGCATCATCAAACGAGGTACTAGGCATGGTGCCGGCATCAGCACGGGGCACTGAGTCAACATGAAGACCTGACCGAGCCAAAGGCGACAAGCCCCGCCGAGGCCGCAAGTTCCCGCCTGACCTAGCCAAAGGCGACAGGTCCCGTCGCGGCCGCAAATTCGCAGCCTGCCCACTGTCACCATCATCATCCGACGACGCGGAAGCATCACTAGCGCCATTCCATATTTCCAAGTAAGTTGACACGGGCTGGCTGGCTGGCGGAGTGGCCATTAGCACCACCAGTGACACCACTGCCCACATGAGGCTGTGAAGCAGCAGCCTGAATCTGATTCAAGCATAGGCACGGATCAGCTCTACCTGGGTAGCAGTTCACGCATCGTCTCCCCGCTCGAACACAGGTACATCTAATACACTTGCGACCTGCCTGACACCGACAGCAGGGCATTGCTGTAGAGATTGCACAGGCAGCACCGGGTCAGCACCACCAGCAGCCATAATCCCGAACACGCTTTCCACCTCTCCAAACAATGGCCATTGCGTGATCCGAGAGATAAAATGACACGACTGCTCAACCAAACAGCAGCAGAGGGCAGAATCATCCAAGCAAGCAACTGGGAGTCATCCTGAAGAGCAGAGCAACGAAACCACCAACTGGCCAGCACGAGAGCAGAGCGAAAATCATCATCATCATCATCATCATCATCATCATCATCATCATCATCATCATGTGGCCAAGCCGCTTTTACGGGCAACAATATTATGAATATGAAACGCAAGGTATTGTAAGAGCAATTTTCTGA